GTTGAAGGCATGCTTAGACACCTGCCGTACTTCCCCATCCCAGGCCTGCACCTCCTGCTTGCGGGAGGCTGAGTCCGCAGAAAGTAGTGCCTCCACCGCACTGGTCACCTGGGGGAAGCAGAGGGTCAGAGACAGTACCCAGCCCCACATACCCCTCTAGCAGTTGGTCTTTAGCTTTCTCAGTGCTTGCCCAAGACATCACTGCTCTGGCCCCGCTTGCCCTAAAATCTTTGGTAGGGCAGGAAAATATTCATACCCGATCTCTGACAAAGTCAGGCAGTCCCCCCAACCCATCCCGGGCAATCTCCAGGTAATCTGGCAAAATGACAATCTTCACATCCTCATCGTACTCAAAGTTCTCCTCGCTGAGGTCAAACCCGCCTTCGACACCTAGTGAGACAGGGAAGAAGAGGGAGAGCAGGACAATGACCACAGGAAAATGTCCCTCCTCTGACACAGCATTTTACTTTGTCCCTTCCAGAGCTCAAGGGCCACTGATCAGGCCTATTCTGTTGGGGATTTCCTAGTACTTCTGAGAGCAGGAAAAAACCAGCTAAGAGGGAAGAATAGGAACGTAGAGGTGCTCACCAATAGCCAACCGGGTGGGTTTCTTTCGTGGGGGGTCTCCAGTGCCTGTGGTGGCGTCCTCCTCTTTCTACAAGGACAGGAAGGGCAGGATCAGCAATAAGCACTAGGCAAGGGACAAATGGGGAGGATGGTCAGGATGAAATGAGTTATCTCAGAAGAGATTGGAGCTAAAAAACATGTGTGCTGAGTTGTAATGACACCAAAAGAAACAGGTGAGAGGGAAACTGAGACCTACAGGAAGTCAAAACAGACCAGATTCAAAATGGGGGCCCAGTGGGATGTGCCAGAATGTCTCCAGCCCAGTCCCTATCCCTACCGAGCGCCGGGTCCGCCGGAGGTGCAAGTAGACTCGCTGGCCCGTCTTGTTGAAATGTCTCTCTACATACTGTTTCCCGAAGCCCAGGAATGTGTTCATGCAGATGTAGAGGCCACCCTCAGACTCCTGCAGGACAAGAGGCATGGGAGGAAACACAGGGAGGATGAAGCCTGGCCAGGTGGGGAAACTAAGACCTGGGCTTAAACACTGCTGGTTCCCAAAGAAAGGTTCTGTTCTCTAACACTTTGTGGCTCTTGGTAAGTCATTTAACTATTTAGTACTTAGTACGTGGCTAAGATTCTCCCCATCCTTTGATAACAACTAACAAGGACACCAGGAGCTGAACAACACCTATCAGTCACCACTCCTCTTCCTCCTTGCTCCTTCTTTGGAGCCCTCCAATCAGTTGCAGAGAACTCCCTCCACCTCTTCTCTGGAGTCAAGAGGCCCAGAAAGTAAATGGAGATCAAATACCATGGACTTCCAGTACCAGAAATTACAGAGAGGAAAAGGGTCCTTCCTCAGAGAGGAAAGACCTGCATGTTAGACACGGAACCTAAACCAGGGACACGACGACAAACCCCATCTGATCTCCAGAATTAAGAAAACCTACCAACCCTGGCCGGTTTGGCTCAGCGGTTAGAGCTTCAGCCCGCGGTTGCAATTTGTCCCCAGCCCTGGTTGGGTTGTGCAGGTGGCAGCCACTCGATGTGTACCTTTCATGTTGATGTCTCTCTCTCTCTCTCTCTCTCTTCCTCTCTCCCCCTCCCGCTCTATCTGAACAAAAAAAATGAAAAAATGTCCTCGGGTGAGGGTTAAAAAAAAAGAAGAAAACCTACCAGACTGGACAAGTAGAGATTCTTCTAGTACATCTAACCCCAGAACTTGCCAATAAGACCAGATATTTCCTTTACATACTCTGCTAGGTAGTTGAACCCTGGTCCACGCTGAGTCTTCTCCCTCCTCTCCTGCTGAAGCCTGGCTCCAGGGAAACAATGCCTTGTGTGCAGCTCACAGTTAAACCCGGACCCAGCCTGGCAGGGACATGAAGTCTGGTATTCTCCGGCCAACACTGTCCCCTCCCCTCTGACCAATAACTAAATCCCCATTGAAGTCCCATCAACCTCCAATCTCAAAGCCATCTCCTTTCTAGAACAATCTAGCAACATTTGCTGAGACAGGTAAACACATATAACCCAGACAGAAAAGATGGAAAGACGTGTCCACTCTAAATCACAGTTGACAGGAGAGGATGGGCTTCCCCCCCAAACCGAGCACATCTACCAGTGCCTTTGTGAATAAAGTGATGGAGAAGTGGAACAGGAATTTGGGGACAACAGTTTTCCCTCAGATCCAAGGTTTTGAGTAACAGTAGGCAACGTCTTCCTGGAATAAAAGCCCCAGTGGCCTTGAAAAATTCTCTGCTGTAATATTAAAAATAGGGCATCATCTAATGCAGTTCTTGGTCGCAGAGATTGTGTACCACTCCCTAGAAAAGTGCGGATTATAATATTCATAAACATAAGAGTATTTCTCATCAGGGAGGTCACAAAAGCTCTCTTTCTACCATGAATGCAATTTGAAGATAATCAAATAGGTTGGAAGTTGGTTAGCAAAGCCAACTCAGCCACACTGGAGATCTCCTGACTTGGGGTGAGAGAAGGAAAGTGTAATAAAATGCCAAAAATCCCTTTTGGATTATTCAAAGCAGTTATTAGGAGAGAGACAGAAGTATAAAAAGGAACCCACTGACTCCTACCATTAGTTGGTAATTAAGAAAAACCTTTTCCTTCTGAGAAAGATGGTGCTTCACTGAGCCATGCCTCTGATAACTTGGGGGCATGGGGAAACTTGCAGGTATTAAACTCTTCTGTTGGAAGTTTTAGACATGCTGGTTTCGCCAAGGACTGGGAACCCTGGAACTCTGCTAGGAGCAGTCCTCTTTTAGCTTTGCCAAGCCAAACTTCAGAGAAGCAGCACATTGTTTGAGGGCAAGCTCAAAGCCTAGCAAACCAAGTAAACCACAAATCAGCGGTGATCCTGAACTTGGCTTTAGATCATGCTCCTATACTCAGCACTGCATTAATGATGCCTTTCCACTCTGACTTGCAGTTTTCCTGGCTATGAGCTGGTCTGGCTGAACACCCTGGGCAGGGCCCAGGAGAGGCTTGAGGGGAGGGGTGGTGTGGGGGGGCGGATCCCAATCAGGATGCTGCCCTCTCAATTCAGGCTCTGCCCTGGCCAGAGCCTTGTCTGTTTGCGGGTGACACAGAAGGGAGAACTGCAGGAAGGGAGGTACCGGGTGGAGCCTGCACAACGTGAAGCATGGTGTGGGTGGCGGCTTTGTCTAACTAATCAAGAGTGGGAGTGGGATGGGAAAGGGGCCTTAGTATCCTGCAAGAAAGAAACCATCTCTCTGGAAATACTTTCAGAAGGGTTCCCTTTGCTTTCTGCGATGAGCGGGAAAAAGAAGGGGCCGCAGAAATGGTTCATCTTAAAGGAGAAACGACTAGAGCTTTCCTCTCCTCCCTGCCACCAAGGACCCACCTCCCCGCCCCCTGTCCATATTAATCATGAGTGGAAGCTCTGCAACTCAGCCTTTCTCAGAAACGGCCTTCTTCAAGGCCACTTCCCTACTACTAGGTGCCCACGAACTGCAGTACCCACCCTCCAACACCAACCCTGGCCCAGAATAGTGAGGGGTCGCCCCATCCCTCCTACACGAGACTACAAAACCCGGAGAACCATGCGCGACAGACAAGGCCAACTCCCAGGCTTTCGCAGGTATCCACCTGGGAAATGTAGTCCGATGACCGGGTTACGCCCTTAGTTTAGAACGGCAGAGGGCAATGAGCGACTACAATCCCCACAGTGCTCCACGAGACGGGGAGCGGGCGAGGCGGACGCGGTGGCTACCGGGAGCAGTAGTCACACGAGGACTCCAGTTAATTAAAATCAACGACAGAAAGTGGTATGGGAGACTACATGTCCCATGGTGCATCGCAAGGAGGCGGTAGCCCAAGCCTTGCAGGCCCCGGCAGAATGACCAGGGCTATGGAAGGAAGTCGTGCTCGCCGAGGGCGTGGGGACTGGACTTACCGGTGTGTCGAAGGAGAAGGCGCACTCGTCTTTGTGGACTCGGTCTCCAGCCTTAGGGACCCGAATCGTCGGTAATACTGACAGCAGCGCCTCCTCACTCAGCTCCGCCATGACACCGGCAGTAGCTCCTCCACACAGAGCAGCTCCCACCGTTCCTAGTACCCCACCCCCTACTCTTGCGGTCCAATGAGCACTACTCGTTAGGTGCTTGCGCTACAGGGAAGACGCGCGAGAATGGCAGTTGGACAGAGCCTGCCTACTAGTGCTCCACCCTCTGCCCTACTCTTGACTAAAGCCAATGGAAAGCGCCTCCAATGCAATCGATGGTCGAAAGAACCAATCCCACTCTTCCTGGGCAGAGCTTCTGTAGAGCCGCGAGGTGGGCCCCAGAGTTTTCGCGGCTCGCACTCTGGGACCCCTACAGTCCCTTCGCGTGCCTTCTATTGAAGAGCAGAAATGGACGGTTGTTTAAACCAGTCTTAGAGACTTTCCTGGAGACTTGTCCAATCGGAAAATAGAAAGGCAGGTGTGTTCTAGGTGTTTGAAAAGGGCTACCCAATGAGGCGGAGTTTGAGAGGGTTGGAGTCGAGTGATTGATAATGCCGTCAACCAGTAAGGATTACTGTTTGTTTTGCCTCAAAAAATCTTCATAACTCGATCTCCGCCTGAATCTATACATAATGGCGTAAAAAATTATTCTTTTTTTAAATAAAATCATTTGGTTTTGAAACCGAAGGTCTCAAAAGCGAAGATTAGCACTCCTTAAAGTTTCACGATGGACAACTCGCAACGCGATAGGAACAAAAATCCCCTTTTATCAAGGAGACGTCATCGCTGGACGTACCAAGCCGCTGCCCATTGACACCTTGTTTTCTTATGATAGACGTCCTCTCAGCCCAATGGCTTCCTTCACAGAAGGCGGATCTCACATAGAAGGCCTATAGGAGTCTGTGTCTGCTCAGCCAATAGGGTCACGGCAGGGGGCGTGGCGGGAGGTTTGAAACTCAGCTTCGGGAGTCGAAGCTCCAGCTGCTGTGCACCAAAGGTGGAGTTGGGGCCCGGTAAGTGATTTGAATAAATTCGTGAATAAGTTAGAGGGCCCCGCAGGCCCGGAGTGAGCCGCCGTGTCAGCTGCACCAGTCGTTGTTCCCACAGAGGCGACCAGGAGGTTCCTTAGCTGGGATCTGGGAAGATAGGGTGGTCTGCAGTCCGAGGTCGGACATGGTCGAGCTGAGGCCTGAGACCTGAGTCACTTCTCACAGGCATCCCCTCCTCGCTCCGGGCCGGGCCCTGCCCCACCCTCTTCCTCCCGGTTGAGATGGGCTCAGCCAAGAGCATACCAGTCACTCCAGCGCGGCCTCCGCCGCACAACAAGCTTCTGTCTCGAGTGGCGGACCCGCGTTCACCTAGTGCCGGCATCGTGCGCACTCCCATCCAGGTACTCTGGGTTGGGTGAGAGTAGGTAGTGAAACTGTCCGAATTCTTTGGCCTCTGCCTAATCTGATTCTGAGAGAGACCCAACTCCCCACCTATACTTTGAGGTCTTATTTTCTACATTCCCCTGCATGTCTGAGGGCCTTGGCAATTCCTGCCTGGAACATGACCTGAGGCTTGGAGACTTGGGAGGGAAGAAGAGTAAGGGCCCAGACTTTAATAGCCTTTGGTCTTGACAGGTGGAGAGCTCTCCACAGCCACACCTAGCAGCAGAGGAACAGCTGCAGGATCCTAATCAGGCCCAGGATTCAGATCCCCGCTCTCCTACCCTTGGCATTACACGGACACCTATGAAGACCAGCAACGGAGGTAAGTGTTGGGCCCAGGGAATTCTGATGAGGCTGTCAGCTAGCATCCTTGCGTGGGGGTCAATGAAGCCATCCTCTCAGGACTCCTTCTAAAAGGGGCCTCTATCATCCTGCTGTGAACCCATCTCACTCTTTTGTCAACATTTGGCTCCCTCTCACCTTGAGTTTCCTCTTCTCAATTCCTTACCCACTAGGGCATAAATCCTAGGTCTTCTATATTTTGTTCTTCTTTGCTGAACATTGTATCAGAGGGTCACTATCCCACTTCACTTCTCCCCTCTAGAACTCGCATCCCCACTGGAGAAACAGCTGAGTGAAGTATTTGAGACCGAAGCCCCCAAATCAAATCTTCCCCCAGAGTCTGCTCTGCCCCTAGAGGCACTTTCATCTTCTGAGTTGGACTTGCCTCTGGGTACCCAGTTTTCCCTTGAGGACCAGATGCCACATGGGAGCCAGACTGAGCTCCCCTCAAAGCAGGTGTCTTCTGAGGAAGAAACAGGACAGCCCTCAGAAACCCTTATGGCCAGCCAGGGCTCAGACAAGCCCATGAGAGACCCCGAGACGCCCAGATCTTCAGGTACAGAATCTAAGGGCAAGATATAAAGAAGAGAAATTGGGATGATGTTCTGGGATAAAGTCCATAGATAGTTTAGGAGAATAAACTGTAAGCCCCTAATTTTAGCTCCTTGCTTTAACTCTTTACCCACCCTAGGTTCTAAGTGCAATAGACGGAAACCAAAAGGCAAGGTACTAGGGAGATCTCCCCTCACCATCCTGCAGGATGACAACTCCCCTGGGACTCTGACACCACGACAGGTAAAGGGAGAGGGTGAGGGCTATTCCTAGGAAGTCCAGCGTAGAGTGTGTGAGATCCTTTTACTCTATCTTCCCTCTCCTGAACAACCTCTCTCCCTCTCTCCCAAACTTGCATACTGCCTTTTGTAGGGTAAGAGGCCTTCTCCTCTGAGTGAAAATGTTAGAGAACTAAAAGAAGGAGCCATTCTGGGAACTGGACGACTTCTGAGAACTGGAGGACAAGCGTGGGAGCAAGGCCAAGACTGTGACAAGGAAAATCAACACTTTGCCTTGGTAGAGAACTAGGCCATGCATGGCCCCAGGCCTGGGTTCACTAGGGGTCTAGTGATATTCCAAGTTCTCTCATCCCTTCTTTCCCTGGGAGACTGGAAATGCTCATTTTCTTCAACTCCTCCTAAACTACCAACTCTGGAACTGAGAGCTTTCTTAGGCTTTCTTTGTGTTATGTGTTTCTTGTATATTAAAGGAAGTGATTTTAAATGATGTTGTTAACTGTTTGTTTCATGTAGAAAGGCAGCCTGGGGAGCGTCGTTTCCTGGCCTGAGTGCGCCCGCACTGACATCTCCAAATCTCTTTAACCCACCTCCCTTAAGTCCTGGTATTCCCTAGGGCTCTGTCCTTGTCTCTTTCCTCTCACTCTTCCTAGGTGTTCACTTCTAGGGGTCAGCTACTACTTACCTATATTCTAGTAACTTCCACGTCTCTCTCTCTAACCCTGACTTTTACCTAACTGCTCCATAGGCACTTCAAAGTCAGTTTGTCTAAAGTTGAATTTGTGGTCTTCTCCCCAAAGGCTATTTCTCTTCCCCTCTTTTTTATCCCTATAAATAACAGTATTTATTACCCAAATCTTGGCCATCATTTTTTAAAATTGATTTTAGAGCCCAGCCAGTGTGGTTCAGTGGTTGAGCATCAACCCATGCACTAAGAGGTTGCCGGTTCGATTCCCGGTCAGGGTACATGCCCAGGTTGTGGGCCCAATCCCCAGTGGGGGGCATGCAGGAGGCAGCCAATCGATGTTCTCTTCGATGTTTCTGTCTCCCTTCTTCTTTCTCACGAACATCAATAAGGAAAAAAAAACCTTTCTTTTAATAAAAATAAAATAAAATTGATTTTAGAGAGGATGGAAGAGAGAAAAACAATGACCAGTTGTCCCCCTCACGTGCCCCCACAGGACCTGGGATCAAACCAGCAATCTAGGTACATACCCTGACTGAGAATCATATCCGCCACCTTTTGGTGTAGGGGACGATGCTCAAACCAACTGATCCACATCAGCCAGGACTTGGCCATCATTTTGAATCCTTCCCCTTAATATCCCATATCCTAGCATTTGGTCACTCACAGTGATTCTTTATCTTCAATCTCTTTCCTATCCTTCCCTTGTATCCTCTGTCCTATTGCTCTTGCATTTCTTGCCACCTGCTTCATATCTGTTGCCTTCATTCCATCCTGTCTCCCCTCCCTCCATTTCATCAACCTACACCACTGCTAGGGCCATCTTTCTGAAAAGCATAGCTGATCACATTACTACTCTGCTCAAAGCTCTTCAATGGTTCCCCATTGGCCCTACGATAAAGTCTAGACTAGCCTGACATTCAAGGCCTTTTTTTTTTTTTAATTCTCACCCAAGGATATTTTCCATTGAGTTTTAGATTGAGTGGAAGGGAGAGAAGGGGGAGGAGAGAGAAAAATTGATGTGATAGAGATACATTGATTGGTTGCTTCCTGCACGACCCTGCAACCCAGTATGTGCCCTTGACCAGGAATCGAACCCATGATCCTTCAGTCCACGGACCGACACTAACTGCTGAGCCATACCGGCCAGGATTCAAGGCCTTTTATAATCTGATTCCTTCTCAACATAATCCTCCTGTACAAACACACATGTACTGTAGGCAGTCTGGTGAACTGCTGTGCACACGCTCCCAAGCCACCTGGTGAATGCCTTCTCTCCTAACCCAGCTCAGGCCTTCCCCACGAGACTTGGGTTTCTGCCTCCACCCTACTTTCTGCCACAAGCTGTCTGGTACCCAACCTTTATCACTTGCACATGTAATACTTAAGTAGGGACTGAATCTTTTTGGAACAGAAGTAGAGTGGAAGCCAAACATCACACATATACCAGGGTGCTATACTTTATTGCAGGTGCTTTGGAGAGCAAAAAAGACGGTAGAAAAAAGAGAAAGCATGAAGGAGAAGGGGGCCAGGACCCTGGTGGTGCCAGAGCCATAGTCACGAGGCCGAGCACCCTGTGCCACACAGGTCTGGATGAAGGTAGTAGCTCTGGAGGAGGAATCCTAGGGCCTGGAGCCTCATACCGAAAGCCTAATGGGCTACCAAAGGTTGGGGAGGGTCCGTTGTCCTTGCTCATTAAAGGAGAAACTGTCAGGACCATGGAGTGGGGAGGCCCTGGGAGGAGATGGGGTAGTTCTCTGCCCATCCCTGATGCTGCCTCCCAAAGGCACACTCCCTGTGTTCCCCACTGTCCTCAAAAGAGAGCGCTTAGTGGGAATGGCACCTGGGGTATAGAAGAGAAAGCCTTAAAGGAACCTTAAAGAAATTGGGCAGCTGAATGTCTTCATGGCCTTTTACCTCCCCTCCTCCAGCCTCCTCAGTTCCAGATTTTGAGGAAGCTGTCCCAGGAACCAGTGGCCACCGCCATCCCATCAGCTGTAACCCCCAGGCAGCTGACCCTGTTGTCGTGGCCAGAGAGGATTCCTGAGGAGAGGGGAGAGGAGTCAGCATATCTCCGCGTGCTGATTTGACAGTGTGTATGCATGCACAGGAATCCTAGGTTAGGTAGGCTGGGTTCTGACTTCAGCCCCCCTGATGGAGACTAGAAGACTGAAAGAGGATTAGCCCTAAGCAGTGGGGTTTCTCTTGAGGCCAGTCTCTCTGTCGAGAACCTGGGGTGGGCGAGGGGTGGAGAGGGATGGCAAAAGGTTGGAAGTGTTCCTGTGCTATGAGAAAAGCAAGGGGCATCTTGATGGGCTCTGGAAAATGGGGGAAGTAACCCTTTTGTGATGTTTCTTTGTTTCCAAATGAAGAGACTGAGTCCCAGAGAGAAGTGACTTGCCCAAGAGCATTCAGAATGTAAGTCACAAAATTAGGGTTTGGATCCAGACTCTCTGGCCAGTGTTCTTTTCTTTCTTTCTTTTTTTAAATATGTTTTTATTAATTTTTTTTTTTTAGAGAGAGATAGAAACATTGATGTGAGTGAGAAACATCAATCAGCTGCCTCCTGCACACCCACGCCCCCCCCCCCCCCAATCAGTCACCAAGCCCACAATCTGGACATGTGCCCTGACTGGGTATCGAACCAAGATCTCTCAGTCCCTGGGACGATGCTCAATCCACTGAGCCACACCAACTGGGCCGGCCAACATTATTTTCATTCAGCATCTTACCTTTCCCAAAAGAAGAAGCCACCCTATCTGACTCAACTGCAGACCAGGCTGGTCCTATAAGCCCATAGTTTGGAGTCAGGGCCCTCAGGTCATTCTAAATCTTGATTCTGCTCATTCCCTGAGATGGCCCTTTCTTTCAGCGGATGCCCCTGAAACCCAGACCTGACTGGATATTCAAGGTCCTCAGGTCTGGGGCAGGCACTTCTGGCACTGGCCCTTACCAACACGCTCGCCCTTCATGGAGTCCCAGACATTGCAGTTGAAGTCGTCATAGCCTGCGAAGAGCAGGCGGCCACTGAGGGAGAAGGCCACGGATGTGATGCCGCAGATGATGCTCTCATGGGTGTAGGCGGTCAGCTCCTGATCTGCCCGCAGGTCAAACAGGCGGCAGGAGGCATCGTCTGAGCCTGTGCAGATGGCCTCTCCACTTGGGAAGAACTGAGGGCACAGGTAGCAATGGGGTCAGGACTCAAACCTGGGCAGCTGCTGCCTCTCCTGCCTTCTCCCTGGCTCCTGCCCTGGTGGCTCCAAGGCAAGCTGCTTCCCTTAGCCTCCCTGCCTGTCCCTTCCCTGCCTGTGGTGAAAAAGGCCACAGCATCACTCTTCTTGCGTGCTGGTGGCTCTCCTATACTCTTCACTTTGCTCCTCCTGACAGCACTACAGACCAGCATTGTTCCCAGGAGGCTGAGGGAGCGCCTGCAGCTTGCCCAAGGTCACATGGCTGGAAAGGCGGAGGTTGTGTCTGACTCCACTACAGTCGGCTGGATCAGAGTGTAGGAGCAAGGCCAAGAACAAATGCATAACCTGAATCTCATCATGAGGAAATGTCAGATCAACTCAAACAGGGAACGTCTACAGAAAATTGGTTTGTACTGTACTCTAAAAATGTCAGTGTCATGAAAGACAAAGGTAGAAAAACAGTTCCAGTTTAAAGGAAACTAAGATGTGGCAAGAAAATACATGTTCCTGGCAGGAAAAAATAAACACTGCTATTACGATTTTGAGATAATGGGTGTGATGTGAATATAGACTGTAGACTATGTTATTGTTAAATTTCCTGACTTTAAGAATTATACTGTGGCTATGTAAGAGAATGGCCTGTGTTTAGGAAATACACACTGAAGTATTTAAGGGGTAAAGAGACATGATGTCTGCAACTTATTCTCAAAAAATTCAGGAAGAAACAACTAAGTGTATATCTACATTTAGGTATATGTGTTTGTCTAGCTAGCTATCAATCATCCATCCGTCCCTCTATTCCTCCATCCCTACCTCTACAGAGTAGAATTATAAAACAAAGGTGGTAAAATGTTAACAGTGAAGATGGGTGAAGGTTAGGTGGGAGCTCTTTTTGTTACTCTCACAACTTTTCTGTAAGGTGAAATTATTTCAAAGTGGAAAGTTAAAAAGACAAGGAAGGGTAGGAAGCTCTGGCAGGGGTGAAGGATGTGTGTGCTGGGGGTGGTGAGGTGGTCCCAGGAGGTGGAGCACAGAGGGGGCTTACACAGATAGCGTTGATGTCTGACTCATGGCCAGTGAACGTCTGCCGGCAAGTCCCCTCCCGCACGTCCCAGAGCTTGGCGCTGGCATCACAGGCGCCCGAAATGAAGAGTTTGAAGTCGGGAGACACAGACAGGCTCATGCAGTCCCCTGTGTGTCCCATAAACACAGTCTTCTGCTGCCCAGTCTCGATATCCCACAGAGCACTGCCGGGAGGAGGGGAGGCTGTCACAGAGAAAGGTCAGGACAGAACTGCCTCACCAGCCCAGCACCCTCAGTGTTCAGTCCTTACCACGTGGTGTCCCCTGAACTGGTCACAATGTTGTTGTCGTCCAGAAAGCGGCAGCAGGAGAGATAACCTGGGGGTGATTGGGACAGTGCCCTGGCTGCAGAGCCACAAAGAGCCAGCGGGGGGCTTCCCTGGACACCTTCGGATGGGATGGGGCCAGAGGACAGGAAGAGAGGGTATCTCACCTGTATGAGCAGAGAGTTCCCTGCTGACCTTGACATTCCCCTCACGGGATTTGAGGCTGTAGATGGAGCACATGTTGTCCAGCCCCCCACATGCCACAAAGTTCCCTGATGGGGCATAGGCACAGGTCATGACCCAGGAGGAGCGCAGAGGAATGGCATGTACCTGCAGGAGGTCAAGGTGAGCAGAGGCAGGACCTGGGCTGAGTTTCCAGGTGGAGAGGGCAGAGAAAGATAGGCATAATGTCCCCAAGGAAGGACAGGGTGACGGAGGAGCTGGAGGCAAGGCTGGTACCTTATTGGTGGTATAGGTGTCCCACACGATCAGCTTTCCGTCTTGCGAAGCACTTACTAGCAACCTGGGGGGAGGGCATCCTATGTCACCCGAGCCTCTCCTTCCTGCCTCCCCTTCCCTCTGGGCACCTCTCAAGCCTTACTTGGAGTCAGTGGCCCAGTGCATGGCATAAATCTTGGCCAGGTGCCCCCTTAATGTCCGCCTCGTCCGCATCTGGACTCGTCCCACGACTTCTAGGCCAGACACAAGCTGCAGAAAAAGGAGCATTAGAAATCAGGGTGAGCAGGATACATGCCCAGATGTCAGTGTCACAGCCACTAATTTGTACACATTTCTGTTTTGTGCCAGGCTCTGGGTCAGGCCCCCAGCCTTGGAGAAATAAGTCCCTGCCATGGAGTGGCTTAGGCTGATGTGAGAGACAGCCAATGGCATGTGGTTAAGTGTTTAACAATTTCCTCTCCAGTGTGGGGTGGGGAAGGATGAGGGAAGGTGAGAGGGTGATTTCTATCCTGTAATTCTCCCACCTTGACCAACTTCAAGTTGCTAATGTGAAGTCACTGAACACACACTTACGAAGATAGGCACACATTCTACCATTCCAAACCACTAGGAGCCTGCCTGCACACACCACTGCAGGACAGCCAACTCTTTAATTGGGTATGCAGAGTATCACCATGACCTTGAACTGCACCTCCTGAAATTTGTAGTTCTATGTCCCTTAAACTCTATCCAGCTTCTAGACTTAGTCTGGGGCTCCAGAGCCAATAGACTTGACTTGCCATTTACCTGCTTTGTTGTCTTGATCAAGTTACTTAACCTCTCTCAGCCCTCAGCCAATTTCCTCATCTACAATATGTTTATAGCACCTACCTTATGGGGTTGTCATGAAAATTGAATTATGTATTTAAGCAAGTTAGCCCAGTGTCTGGCTCATGGTAAGTGTTCAGTAAATGCTTACTCTTATTAAGGTATTTAATCCTGTCTAAGTGCATCCAACTCCAGAAAGCACCATTCTCTTATATATCACTAAGAAAGAAAAGATGCTGCCAATTTTCATTGTAAGTTGTCTAGTGTTGGATGCATCTTGATATCAGAAACGTCAAAATGTGAAAAAGTGTGCATCTTAGAATTGATACAGTACAGTATTAGACAACTAGTAACTGGAGTCTATGAGGGTTTGTGATTTACAAAGTACTTCATCCTCACCACCCTGCAATGTAAGCGGGCGAAATCGTTTTTGTTTTATGGAAGACCATAAAGACAGCATCTTGTCCTTGGCCTCTGCTGCGGTCCCTGGCCCAGAGCACATCTCACTGAATGTTTGTTGATTAAACTAATTAATGTATTCCTCATTCCAAGGACATACTGTGCTAAAGCGTGGGCTGGTCAGGGGCTCCCATCCCCTCTCCTCCCCTCAGGCTCTGCCTCAGGGGGACAGGAGTCTCACCTCTGCCAGAGTAGTGTCAGTACAGGCTTTCCTGGAATCCTGGGGGTAGGGGGAAGCAGACATCAGAGGAGGGAAGGGTAGAGTGGGAGGTGAGGGTTACAAGGGGCTCTGAGGTAGGTAGGCTTGTGGCTCTGTGGTTTGGGGACGTCTCAAATATGAGATCCAGAAAGTTTCTGGTCACTTCCAGGCCAGGGGTCTCTAAGGTGTCACTCAAGAGTGAATCCAGCCTCCTTCCCACCAGGCCACATTCCCTCATGTCCCCATTTCCATGTTTTCTGGGGTCCCCAGTGGGAAGGTTCTGGGGTTACTGCAATCTGCTTCTTGAGCTGTTCAGCTTCCTGCCGTAGCTGCTCCATCTCCCCCATGGCTGACAGGTTGAGAAGTAGCTCGGGCTCCTGCCAGAAACATGGGGTAGTATAAGGGGTCCCCACCAGGCCATGTTTCTGTCCCTCACACCCCACACCAGACTCCTAATGAGGGCTGGAGCCCACTCCAAGAAACAGGGGAGTGGGGGACCCCATATCACCTCCCCCACTAGGTCCTCCAAGTCTGGAGCTCTTTGCAGCCAGCCCCAGCCCTGCCTGAGCCCTCCCTGCAGCCCCCAGTCCCAGAGAGCACAGCCAGGCCAGCTCCCTCTTACTTGGGCTCTGACTGGACCTCTCCCAGGTTTCCAGCTCCGGTTCCCAGGCGCCTCCTCACTCCTTCAGCTGTGATGCCAGCCTGTCACCTGCCCCAGCTATGCTGCCAGAGGAGCTGGCCTGGCCTGGCCCCACTCTGGGGAGGGGGTGTGGGCATTGACAGGGAAGGGTAGGGCCAACAACGAAGAACAACAGACGTCAGTCAGGCGAGTGTAATCAGTTGGCAGGGTGGGGGAAGAGGACAGGGAGAGGTATGTGGCCTCCAGAGCCTTGGGCCTAGCCTGGGGGAAGGGGGAGGAGCAGAGTGCTGGGCTATAGAGGAGCAGCCCCCACAACAAGCTCTGGAGGGAGGAGGGGTGGAAGGGGTGCTTCCCTGATCTCTCTCTGCAGGCAGAGAGAAGAGCATCAGGCCCCATGGGATTAGAGCAAAGCTGTAAGGATTAAAGGTTGAGGTTTGGGAGGGTGCAAAGGAGCAGTAGCCACCACAAGTCCAACAGACCCCTGACCCCCCCTCCCCCTGGCCAGGCCCTAACCCCACCAATAGTGATGATCTTGGCAGTCAGGGCCTACCTAGCAACCAGTCCCAGAGCCAGAATACAAGGGTGAGAGATGGCCCTTTGTCAATACCCGAAACTGTGTTCCTTAGCTCAGATGGTGGGGGAAGAGGGTTCTGGTGACTACAGGGAGGGTGCAGGTGGAAGCTTAGAAGGGACTTATCTGGATAATCCTTCTTCCTGACAAGCCCCAACCAGCTCTCCCAGGATCTGATTCTGGGCAGTGGGGGTGGGGACAGGGGATTCAGAAAGAAGGATGGACAGGCCTGCCCCTGCTCTGGGGGCATAAAGGATTGCAAGTGGAGGGCAACCCCATCCCCTGCTCCCATCTCGGTTTGGCCCACTCCTTGCCCCTGACTCTCAAGGTCCTGCTGGGGCTGTGAAAGCAGGAGTCTTAAGGATCAGGCTGCCGTAAGTCTTGTCAAGCTCTGAGGGAAGACGGTTCTTAGAGTTGGAGGCCTAAAGAGCAGCTGTCAGGGGTTTGGATGTATTTGCATGAGGGGAGCAGGTGGCTGAGATTTCCCTGACAAATCACAGGCTTGAGTGGCCCTGCCTCTGGAAGGCCTGAAGACACCTGTCTCCTCCCAGGCCAGCCATAGCCGCTCCCACCACCAGCCACCACAGAAACTGTGATACAAATGATGGGCCCTGGGTGAGGGATCTTCATGTTCTTTATTGACAGGCTGCGAGAGGGCAGTGGGGTCATTCTCCCCTCTCATTCTCCTCTCTTGAAGCCCTCAGGTCACACCCCCTGCCATTTCTTTCCGGGGAGGCATTGTGCCTTCTCTCTGTCCTAGGGCTGGAGGTCCATCAACTGGCGCCAGGCCTGGCCCCTCAGACCTGGTAAGCTCTAGGCTGGTCTGTGCGGTATCCTCTGAGTCCAAGGCTGGACGGCCCTTGTGATCCCCAAGATGGTGAGGCACAGGGACAGAGCTCACTGTTCTGCTCCTGTCACGTGGGGGCTTCTTGTTGGTCCTGGCATCCAGGCAGCCCTTCACAAGTCAAGTGGCCACATCCCCAAGGAGCTAGCTCAGCCCCTCACAGCTCCTCTCGGACCCGAGGTGGCTTCCCAATCTTGTCCTGGACCCGCTGAAGCCTATGGCTGGGGGGTTCTGGGGAAGGGTCTCTGCTGGACATTTCTTCCTCCTCCTCGTCACCCTCCTCCTCTTCCTCTGGCTCCTGCAGCAACTCTTTGGCTTCTGTCCACTCCTGGGAGGTGGGAGGAGAGTCTGGCCCAATCGCCTGCATCCACCCTGCCCCATTGACCCTCCCTGGGTTATCTCAGCCCCTGCCCCTCACCCTCAGCCTGTCCACACTTCACACACCAGGAGAGACATTCTTCCTATTTCTGCTCCTCCTCACCTGCTCCCTGTGCTCAGGTGCCCATGTGTGCCACAGTGCCAGGGCGCAGCGCCGGCCCCGAGTCACAGCCCACACACCATGGGGATTCTCCCCCCCGGAGCTGAAGGCCACCAGGCGTCCGCAGCGAGGACGAACCTGAGCCTAGGAGATGAGTGCAGGGTCAGCTCCAGGGATGGGCCCCCAGAGAACTTGGCCCTGACTCTCAGATTAGGACAGGGCATGGGGGCACCAAAAGATCAGCTCTCTTGCCCATCACCCACTCCCTAATTCAGGGACTATCTTGGGGCAAATGGGAAATTGGCCTTCACTTGGGTAGCAAAAATGCCAGACTAAGGCTAAAGGAGTTGGAGCCAAAGGGAGAAGGGACCTCCATTAAGGGCCTCCTGTTGGTTCCCTCCCCTGTGCCCTGACTTTTCTTGCCCAGTTCAAACTGGATGTGCAGAAATGAGCACGGGACCAGACTCTGGGTACTGGGAAAAGGATCTTGGGGACAGTCTTCCATCCCAAGGAGGGCATGGATTATTGGCAGCTGGTAAAGGTAAGCAGAGAAGGAGGTAAAACAGAGCAACAGGTAATAAGAAATCACTGTCCCTCTCCTTCCCGCTGAATTTTAAATTTTTTTTCCTCACCCGAGGACATTTTTTTCCATTTTTTGTTCAGATAGAGTGGGGGGCAGAGAGAGAGAGAGAAACATCGACATGAAAGGGACACATAGAGTGGCTGCCACCGCACGACCAACCAAGGCCGTGGAAAAACTGCAACCGAGGTACGTGCCCTTAGCGGGAACCGAACCCAGGTCTCTCTGGAGCAGGCCGACGCTCTAACCGCTGAGCAAAACCGGCCAGGGCTCCACTGAATTTTAGAGAGAGTGGAAGGCAGCGAGGGAGGGAGGGAGAGAGACATCAATGTAAGAGAGACACGCCAACTGGTTGTCTCCTGCACAATCCCCGACCAGGGCTGGGGTCAAACCTGCAATCCAGGTACATGTCCTTGACCTGAATTGAACCTGAGACCCTTCAGTCTGAGGGCCAACGCTCTAACCACTGAGCCAAACTGGCCAGGGCGTCAGCCCCTACTTTCTATTTGAAATAGGGACTTGAGGTCCTGTGTTCACCCACCCTCCTTTAGGAGGTGAGGCAAACACTGAAGGCAGAGTCTGGAGTGGTCACTTTGAGAACTCCTGCAGGGCAGCATGATCAATGTCTGCTAGGAGAGCCCCTGCACACAGACAAGTGGTGGACAGAGCTGGGGAGGCCAGGAAAGAAAGGGTTAAGGTGGCCCCAGACATTTCCCTGCATTTGCCTCTGGGAACATTCTGTTTTGAATCCTGAGCCCACAGCTGGGCTCCCTGCCTCAACCCCCACCCCACAAACCTTGACAGTGAGGGCGTTGGGCTCTGTGAAGAATAGGTCCCCACCCTGGAAGTCATCATTGAGGTAGAGGAGTCCACTGGAGGAGAAAGACAGGAGACAGTGAGATCCCAACCCAGGCCCTCCTGCCTGACCCCTGGAGGGGCTGCTCACCTGTAGTCTCGATAAGTGTAGGCTGGGGGCTCCCGCCAGCACTCTCCGGTGTCAGGATCCAGGACACAATTGTCGGCATGCACTGGGTGACTCAGGTCCATGCGCTGCTCTTGCTCCCCTAGGAAGCAAAGGGGCCTGGTGAATGCCTCTGCGTCCCATGCCCATCCACCACCATCCACACCTACTCTCAAGCTCAGGGGGTCACAGCTGAGCAGAGAGGCCAGGCCCCCACCTGGGCAGGGGAGTCAGTCTTTTAGGAGTGAAGATGAACCAACATGGTTAGGGGGTGCTGAGGGTATGCAGTGCCCCGCAGGGCCCAAGGTTGGGAAGGAACAGTGGGGTCCTGGCAGTTACCTTTGATGGCAGTACGGCACACCAGGTGAGTAAAGGAGAGATGCAGGGGCCTTTCTGGGGAGAAGTAGGCCTGAGTTAAGGTCCGCACACGCTCGCTCACCTCCAGAAGCAGCTTAGCACCCTGAGTGCTCACGGTCCCAGCCCGGGCCAGCTGCAGGTAGCAGAAGGACAAGAAAGGAGAGAGGCAATGGAAGGGTGGATTTGGAGTCTCCCAGCCGCCAGCTCTGTCCATCAGCCCAGCTGCTCCTTCCACTGGCTCCCTGACAACCCCTCCTCAGTCCTGGGCAGAGAACTCAAGGACTCTCAGTCCGGGAGAGCCCCTCCACTGGAGAAGTCCAGACCCTGGCACCCAGCCTCCTGTATCCCCTCTTCTCCAGTTCTGGAGACCAGGGCATGGGTGCCTCCTCACTCACCTGTGCTGCCTTCAGCACTGTGAGCCCCTCGAAGTGTTCATGGGTGGTGTGAGGGGAGCGGCGGCCCCGATAGCCAGACCTCACTCCAGCCTCAGCTGCATCCTAAATAGGGAGAGAGCTGACTGTGAAGTCACTGTCCTTCAGCCCCAGACTTTTCCCACCTCACTGCCCATGAACTACAAGACTTTCTCTCCAATCCTCCCACTCCCTGGAAGAGGCTAGAAGCTTCCAGAGTTCTCTGGTGGCTCCTTTTCTTTTTTTAAAAATTTTTATTGTTGAATGTATTACAGATTTTCCTCATTTTTCCCCCCACTGAACCCCTCCACCCCACTCCTGCCTCCCTCCTGCCTTTTCCCACATTATTGTCTGTGTCCATTGGTTATGCATACATGCATATAAGTTCTTTGGTTCCTTCTTTCCTCCCTCCCTTCCTTCCTTCTTAATCCTCACCAGAGGACATTTTTCCATATTTTGTTTAGATAGAGGGAGAGGGAGAGAGAGAGAGAAACATCGACATGAAAGGGACACATCGAGTGGTTGCCACCCGCACGACCCAACCAGGGCCGGGGACAAACAGCAACTGAGGTACATGCCCTTAGCGGGAACCGAACCCGGCTCTCTCTGGACCACAGGCCGACACTCTAACTGCTGAGCCAAACCGGCCAGGGCCTTTGAGATTTGTCAGCCTAGCAACCAATTTGTACTTCTTAATCCCTTCATCCTTTTCACCCATTTCCCTAACCCCCTCCCATTTGGCAACCAACAAAATGTTCTCTCTATCAATGACAACGTTTCTGTTCTGCTTGTTATTTTGTTTGTAGATTCAGTTGTTGATAGCTATGTATTTACTGCCATTTTGTTTGTTCATATATTTTTTGTTTTTCTTCAAAAAGACCCTTCAACATCTCATATAATAATGGTTTGGTGGTGATGAACTCCTTTAGCTTTTCCTTACCTGGGAAACTCTTTATATGGCCATTGATTCTAAATGACAGCTTTGCCAGGATACAGTAATCTTGGTTGTAGGTTGTTGC